GTGATTTCACATTTCTTGTTTGTATGAAGGCTAAATACCAATAAAAGGTGAACATTTATTTATTTGCGCCATTTTTTTCCTAAAATATTATATAGTTTTATAGGAGTAGGTTTCATAGAGTCTTTTCATAAGTTTGTTGGTACAGACATCTGTTGTGGCCGTTCTTGGTCGTTTTTATGAGGCTTTTTTAATAGTGTTCATATCGATATCGGAATTATATCGTATCGACCAAAATTAAGAAATATATCGTGATATAAATTTAGGCCATATCGTCCAGCCCTAAGTGCAAACAGTTTTTCCGTTTACTACACGTTGTTATTCTCCATAGCGGCTAAGGAACCGGAAGTCTCACCCATAGGCTTACTTCCGCGTTGAAGAAAAAGGTGGATAGTGAAACTAAAATGTGTTTAAAAGTGCGACTGACTAAAGATAGATCATTTTTAAGGAATAGGGGAGATAATTTTGCCGGAAATGCAGAAATAAGCCGTCGTTTTGTTTTATTTGTAACACTTTGGTAGATACATTTACAATTTCTATTACATTATTACTACTGTTACCTGGGGTGGACGGGTACAGAACATTTTGTTTCTCTCTTTCTTCTCTCAGTGTGTGTGCATATACAGTAGGGTCCACAAGTCAGATCCCATTCGTGAAATGTTCATATTTTGCGTTCTTTTATAATCTATTTTTATGTATTTATTTTTATTTTATATATTTATTATATATAAATCTGACAGTCTTTAATCTGAAAACCCATATTGTGCCCATTATGCCTCTGTGATGCAGCAGAGGGAGCACTTGTGTCAGTATTGAAAAAAGAAGCTCTCACTTTCTCTCATTAACAGTCTCTCTGTAATGTTTTGTAGCACCCAGTGATTTGAACACTTACTCATCTCCACAGATGTATAAAGAGAGATACGTGTTAGTTCAACCAAAAGGGAAAACTCTGTCATCATTTAGGCTACTCATGTCATTCCAACCCAGTTTGACATTATTTCTTCTGCGGAATACAAAAGAAGATTATGAAGAATGTTTGTATGTACACATTTCTTGTATGGAGGCATTTCTCAAAACACAGAAGAATGTTTAGAATGACATGAGGGTGAGTAAATGATGGCAGATTTTTTTGTTTTTGTTTTTTTGTTGCGTGAACCAAGATAAAATAATGTTTGACAACTCAATAATTGTTTTTTATGAATAATTTATTTATTTATTTGTAAGATTTCCTTGGCAATAATGGTGCAAATATCCCATTTATTTATTGTTTGTGTGTAACTAAAAACTCAACAGTGTGTCCAGACGAAAATGAACCTACTCTGAAAAAAACTATTGGTGTAAAAAGTGTTACTAACTAGCCTCATTCTCCTCTACAGAACCTCTCCAATAAAACTCTCCTCTGTAAATTCAGATCTCTTCACTGAGTTGTGCCACCCCTGTTTGCAAACCTTTTTTTTTTTTTTGCATATATTGGAACTGGTTGTATTCTATTTTAATTAATCTATGAACTATAAGGAAGTACTGCTTTTATTATGCTAAATGTGGTGTTTGAAAGTCTTGAAGGTTGTTCCTAAAGCAGACGCAGACGGAACTTTGCTCCATGAGAACTGCATCAGAGGTTGAAGAGAGCAACGCAAATGAAGCATGCCTTTAGGATACGAGACGTGCAGAATTAATCCATAGGAGCCTCTTTTAATAAAACGGATCCTTGTTGAGACACTTGAACAACTTGAGCTGAAGCCAGACTTGTATAAACGCAGCTGATGTCTGCGGGCTGAGAGGGGAAACAGGCGCCCAACCCATTTCTTTTGTGCTGAAGCTCCTGTGATTTCATTGAGCTTTCCCCGGGCCGCTACTATAATGGGCTCCCTCGCTTTGAATCGCTCTTGTATCCGCGATTTTATTTTATTTTTGTTTGCTGGTTAAACTAGAGCAATCTTTTTAGTTGTCAGTGGTTTTGAAGCTTGGGAACTGGCTGAGGAAATTTCTCGCCGATCATCTGGACGGGTCCCAATGAAAATGCACGGGAGAAACAGGTACAACCTGGTGGACGATGTGGCGGATTCGCGAGTCCCGCTTCACGACGAGGAAGCGTATCAACACGGAATACACTTCCAAGCCAAGGTGAAACAGATCATATCTGCTGTAAACATTGCCATTGGTATTATTGCTGGTTATACTATTAACCGACAGTTATTTTAAATAGTAAAAATATTTCAAAATGTTACTGTTTTTGCTTTATTTTGGATTAAATAAATGAAGGCTTGGTGAGCAGAAGAGAATTCTTTAAAAAACATAAAAAATCTTACTGTTCAAAATCTTTTGACTGGTATGTTAGCCTACAGTTTGAAGTAAAAACATATTAATAATAATAAGGAGAGTCTGAGATTTATTTGACAGTGATTTCACATTTCTTGTTTGTATGAAGGCTAAATACCAATAAAAGGTGAACATTTATTTATTTGCGCCATTTTTTTCCTAAAATATTATATAGTTTTATAGGAGTAGGTTTCATAGAGTCTTTTCATAAGTTTGTTGGTACAGACATCTGTTGTGGCCGTTCTTGGTCGTTTTTATGAGGCTTTTTTAATAGTGTTCATATCGATATCGGAATTATATCGTATCGACCAAAATTAAGAAATATATCGTGATATAAATTTAGGCCATATCGTCCAGCCCTAAGTGCAAACAGTTTTTCCGTTTACTACACGTTGTTATTCTCCATAGCGGCTAAGGAACCGGAAGTCTCACCCATAGGCTTACTTCCGCGTTGAAGAAAAAGGTGGATAGTGAAACTAAAATGTGTTTAAAAGTGCGACTGACTAAAGATAGATCATTTTTAAGGAATAGGGGAGATAATTTTGCCGGAAATGCAGAAATAAGCCGTCGTTTTGTTTTATTTGTAACACTTTGGTAGATACATTTACAATTTCTATTACATTATTACTACTGTTACCTGGGGTGGACGGGTACAGAACATTTTGTTTCTCTCTTTCTTCTCTCAGTGTGTGTGCATATACAGTAGGGTCCACAAGTCAGATCCCATTCGTGAAATGTTCATATTTTGCGTTCTTTTATAATCTATTTTTATTTATTTATTTTTATTTTATATATTTATTATATATAAATCTGACAGTCTTTAATCTGAAAACCCATATTGTGCCCATTATGCCTCTGTGATGCAGCAGAGGGAGCACTTGTGTCAGTATTGAAAAAAGAAGCTCTCACTTTCTCTCATTAACAGTCTCTCTGTAATGTTTTGTAGCACCCAGTGATTTGAACACTTACTCATCTCCACAGATGTATAAAGAGAGATACGTGTTAGTTCAACCAAAAGGGAAAACTCTGTCATCATTTAGGCTACTCATGTCATTCCAACCCAGTTTGACATTATTTCTTCTGCGGAATACAAAAGAAGATTATGAAGAATGTTTGTATGTACACATTTCTTGTATGGAGGCATTTCTCAAAACACAGAAGAATGTTTAGAATGACATGAGGGTGAGTAAATGATGGCAGATTTTTTTGTTTTTGTTTTTTTGTTGCGTGAACCAAGATAAAATAATGTTTGACAACTCAATAATTGTTTTTTATGAATAATTTATTTATTTATTTGTAAGATTTCCTTGGCAATAATGGTGCAAATATCCCATTTATTTATTGTTTGTGTGTAACTAAAAACTCAACAGTGTGTCCAGACGAAAATGAACCTACTCTGAAAAAAACTATTGGTGTAAAAAGTGTTACTAACTAGCCTCATTCTCCTCTACATAACCTCTCCAATAAAACTCTCCTCTGTAAATTCAGATCTCTTCACTGAGTTGTGCCACACCTGTTTGCAAACCTTTTTTTTTTTTTTGCATATATTGGAACTGGTTGTATTCTATTTTAATTAATCTATGAACTATAAGGAAGTACTGCTTTTATTATGCTAAATGTGGTGTTTGAAAGTCTTGAAGGTTGTTCCTAAAGCAGACGCAGACGGAACTTTGCTCCATGAGAACTGCATCAGAGGTTGAAGAGAGCAACGCAAATGAAGCATGCCTTTAGGATACGAGACGTGCAGAATTAATCCATAGGAGCCTCTTTTAATAAAACGGATCCTTGTTGAGGCACTTGAACAACTTGAGCTGAAGCCAGACTTGTATAAACGCAGCTGATGTCTGCGGGCTGAGAGGGGAAACAGGCGCCCAACCCATTTCTTTTGTGCTGAAGCTCCTGTGATTTCATTGAGCTTTCCCCGGGCCGCTACTATAATGGGCTCCCTCGCTTTGAATCGCTCTTGTATCCGCGATTTTATTTTATTTTTGTTTGCTGGTTAAACTAGAGCAATCTTTTTAGTTGTCAGTGGTTTTGAAGCTTGGGAACTGGCTGAGTAAATTTCTCGCCGATCATCTGGACGGGTCCCAATGAAAATGCACGGGAGAAACAGGTACAACCTGGTGGACGATGTGGCGGATTCGCGAGTCCCGCTTCACGACGAGGAAGCGTATCAACACGGAATACACTTCCAAGCCAAGGTGAAACAGATCATATCTGCTGTAAACATTGCCATTGGTATTATTGCTGGTTATACTATTAACCGATACTTTCATGTAGTCAAATGGAGTTCATACACGTAAAGTGGGTCATTCAATGTGTGCTTAAAGAGTAATTCCACATGAGACAGTCAGGGTCATGTTTTGGGTAGTGATGACCTTAGACACCAGCAAATGAAAATGTCACCAAATAGAAAAAAAAGAGAAATATTTTGACATTTGGTTTAAAACACGTGCACAGTTCTTAGAAATGTAATCTTAATATTCATTTAGGTTTGGTTGTAATATTTTCTTTACAAGTATTTAGGCATTTTGAGTCATGAATATTAAGGTTTTGTAGGGTTACTCGATTTGACCTGTAAAGCATTTAAGATATTTAAAATATTTAAAATAATAATAATAATCTCACTATTTAATTGTTTTCTTGTTACATGACAACAAATGCTTTCTAGATGTTGATTGTGCCATGCTAGCTTAGATCAGGTGATCACAGTGTTTCTTTAGATGATTATTAAAAAAACACTATTTTCTCTTTTTCTCAATAATTACAGCCTTTATTCTTTTGCAATCAAGAATTTTTTTTTTTACTTTAAGCCCCCCAAATATAAAAATCAAAAACTGAAAACATGTTCATGTTCATCATGGTCATCTTTATTAAGTTACTTTTTAATGCATGCATCTTTGTTTAACTTAATAGATCCAGATGAGTAACGTCACTGACCTGTATGCAGAGGTTTTTTTTTTTTTTTTTGCATAAACAATTTTGGTGTCTGGTACAACTTTTTAGGAATGGCTGCATGGCTGGTTACACTGGTACTTTAACTAAGCCTAGACGTCTTTTAAACTCTGAAGGGTATTTGGTTTCTTCAGAAGCTGTGGTTAGATTCGACTGGGACATTGGGTCATTAACATTTCATTGAATAAACCCCTACTCGGTGGCCGTGTCTCAAAACACAATGAGCTGTCTTAGCGAGAGCATTGAACATCAATTATCAATCAATGGTTGAGGTTTTGGGATAATCAGTGTATTATGTCCACCACTATAAGTCACAAAACGCTGCTAGATTTTCTGCTGGATAAACATGCATAAACATTATACATTGATTTTCTTTATTGCTTATATTCATATACAGCAACCAATGTCCTGTTTGGTATACAGAATTTCTGACCTGCCTGGTTATGATCACTTGATAAATATTTAATTTGTGCCCATTAATGAAAGCCAGGACATCCTTTAAGGTCCCAGATAACTCCTCTATCTATATCATAGTCATTTCTTATATACATCTACGTACTCAGACACTTGCATATTTAAAATATTACAGTCTGCTGTCTCATGTGTCATAAATGCTGTTTTTTCCCCCCCCAGAGAGCTTTTCATTAAGCTTTTCAAATCTGCAGACAGCTAAATGCCTCAGGAAACCTAAAGCTTTGTATACTGAGCCACTCAGAAGCCTATCGCGGAGTAATTTTAGCTCCAATTTGTGATGCAGGATTATATTCCAGGAATTTTATTGGCCAAAGCTGGAAAGCCAAGACCTAGAACCACTCACAATCACAGTCACACATTCTGACTGCAGTCTTGCAGTCTTGTCTTTCACAGCTTAAATCAGCTGTATAAGTTGCTATTTTTGCTGAACTGTTGTCAGTTTTGCTGTCCCTCTCTGCTGGATTTAGACTGTGGAAGCTGGATATAAGTATTTAAGGTCAACATCTCCGTATATTTTAAGAACAGGTCATTACAGGCATGAAAGAACATTTTGTTGTTTGTAAACACTGAGCCTATACTTGGATAAGCATGTTATTTGCAGCTGGCATTGATCTATTCACATTTTAGAAATATATGTAATGTTGGGTCAGTGGTCATAAATAGAGAATGATCCATTTTTGGTTTTCAGGGAAATTTTTTTACATGAGGGCATATGTTTTGTAACCATTAAAACCATTTCATATTTTGAATAATCAGTTTAATCTGTAAATTATATGTATAGCTAGATTTGACATTTCCTAAAGAAAATGCAGTTGGTGATTATGCTAAATTGTTTCTAGGGTATTCTGGGTGGTAGCTAATGTGTTTCGGTGAGCACTGGTGGTTGCTAAGGTGTTTTAGGTGATTGCTTGAGTGTTTTTAAGCATTTGTTGTGAATTTTTGGAAATTATGTGAAATATGTAAAGTGAGTAAAATTATTTCCTTTTCCAACAGATAATTTCCTAGAATAAATAAATAAATAAATATATATGTAACATGGAGAAGGTAAAGCAAGTAGGCAGGGAACGTGGACCTAAATGCAGGTAGTTTTAATGACAAAACAAGAACAAACAATAAACCAAAAACACTAGGAACAAGGAACCAAAACACGAGCAGAACGGCACCATTACATACAGTACAACAACAGGCACAAGGGAAACACAAGGGCCATTTATCCACCTTTTTCTTCAACGCAGAATTAAGCCTATGGACGAGACTTCCGGTTCATTAGCCGCTATAGGTAAATAACGAGGAGAATAACAATGTGCAGTAAACGGTAAAACTGTTTGAACTACAAACCAGTGTGTTCATAATTAAGATAATACATTAAAATAATTTGGCAAGACACACCCATTTTCAATATCTAGCAACAAAACGAACTGTTTTGTACAGCTAAAAATAGCTGGATGTGGATGAGACCAGAAGCTAGACCCATAGAATTTACAAATGCCCATTTTTAAGGCAAGAAAAAGGTGGATACACAGGAGAACAAAAGTGACCAATGACTTGCTATGGGAACTAACAAGCAGATGGGTGTGGTCCAATGAGTAGCTATGGCAACTAATAAGTGGAACTATGGAGACAATCAAGGTACACAGCAAGACTTGCAGGGAACATGTAACAATCTAACTATATATATACTATATATATATATATATATATATATATATATATATATAAACATATACTGTATATATCACACACTTAATTCTATATTAGATCACACAATATCAAACCAAATAGCATTTGTAAGTAAATTAGATTTTTTTTTCTTAAGTCAGGTGTCTGAACAATATATCTACACTTTTCTTTTTTTTCTCCTTTATTTAAAAGCCATTTGGTTTAGTATTCTGAATGAAATGCAATGACATTCATACATTTGTGAGTGCAATTCGGGATGAATAGTATATATATATATATTGTCACTTCTGGTGGCATTTTTGCCATTTTAGCCTTCATTAATTTCCAACCCTGCCCATTGTGAATCTGACCAATTCAGTGATGGGTTACAGATTTGTTCTTATAGGAATGCATATGCAAATAATGCAAATAATAAATCTTGAAGCAATGCAAATTTGCACAGGCAAACATCTACTGATGTTTTTAACAAATTTACAAAATTGTCAGTATGTCTTTTTAACTTTACATATTGCTCGGCCTATGTCGTTTTTGGTAGTACTGGTACTGAGTTTTGAAGCAAAACCAAATGAGAACGACTGATTTAGATTATCATTTAAGCATAAATAGAGTTTGAGAAATGAGGCTTCCAGTGTCCTGCCAATGCAAAAGTAACTTGGCATTCATTAAGATAAAAAGTGTGTTTGTGCAAATGAAGCTGCCTCATTAATTTTAGAATGGGTGATTCCTCTGTTGCAGTTAATAACAGAGTATAAACAGAACACTCTTTATCTAACATTCAAGCATGTGTTTCTTTTGCAGTATGTTGGCAGCCTGGATGTCCCAAGACCCAACAGTCGTATGGAGATTGTTGCTGCTATGAGAAGAATCAGGGTAAGATCAGACACTTTCACTCACAGACACAGACTCTGAGTGCTGAGTAATCACTGCTGATTGGCCCACAGCAGCTGTTTTCCTCAGACACGTCTTTTGCAGTGTAAGACTCATTAGCTGGGGAAAAAACAGCTTGTTCCTCTATATTTATCACATACTCTGCAGAGTCTACCAGTGTGTGCTTAGTTTAGGGTGTATCCTGGTAGTATTTTTGCACCTGAGGTTTCATATTTCATGTTCCGCACATTGATAAAAGAGAGATCACACACACATACTCAGACACTGGGGCACAGAAAGCCTTGTTATTCCCCATGAATGATCTCTGCGGGGTCTACAGCAAATGGAAATTGAAGATGACTACCATTATTTTGGTTGATTGGTCAGTTTGTGTGTGTGTGTGTGTGTATCCTAGTTTTCTATATGTACTTGCCATGTACTCACACAGACCCTCATAGTTCAGACTGAAGACCATTTCTAAGACAAATTAAGTTGGCTTTGTTGCTTGATCACATGGATCATGAATTTGTGTATGTGCATGACTTATTACCTTTAGAGCTTGTGACAAGCCTGCCAGGAGATCAAAGTGCTTCAGCTGCAAGATTTTCATAAACCTTTCTATCCTATATCAAACAAACACACAATTCATATGTCATGGGCTGTCAAAATGAGCCCATTATCAATGGGATGTGCCTCAGCCATGACTAAGATGGGAAGTCATAACATTGAAGGATAAGAACAACAGGAAACTAATGGATATGCATTACATAAAAAAACTGAGCACTAATTTTACAGGCTATAACAGATTTCCAGACACGCACGCACGCACACACACACACACACACACACACATTTATTTAGAAAAATCACAATTACTGATTAAACATGACAATAATGCCACCTGCTGGATGACTGATGGACTGCTTCAGCTAATGATGTGATGTAGTCTGTCTTGTCTTTTCTTCTCTTCTCTTCTCTTCTCTTCTCTTCTCTTCTCTTCTCTTCTCTTCTCTTCTCTTCTCTTCTCTTCTCTTCTCTTCTCTTGTGTCTACATATATATATTTTTGACTATTTTTAACCTATACAGCATTTTTCTTTCTGTACATAGTGACTATATAAATATATTTAAGATATATGCTAAGCAGTGCAGCTTAAGGATTTTTTTTTTCAAATGTGAAGTATACTTATACAATTACTTAAAGGGACAACATACATTTCCAATCTTAAAATACATTTAGGGTAAATGCAAAAAAATTTATTTTTTTTTTTATTTTTTTTTTTAGGACAGTATACATTTAGATTGGAAATATATCAAAATGACCATTCGATGTCTAGGGGATGTTGGACTTGCTTGTGGGTGTAAAATAGTGAGAAAAATTTATATGTCTAAATAGGACCTGCTGATAAAGTTGTTCTGGGCTTTTTAGAGGAATCTCAGTGTCAGTTTGTTTAATATGTTTCACTGCTGATATTTTCTGGGTTAGTGGGTTCTCTCAGAGACGAGTCTAGAATTCATGCCCTTGTTGTGTTAGATTTTCCTGAAAACAACAGTAAATAATTTGTACTGACCTTCTTTGCAGCCTATTTCCTTCTCTCTTTTCTCTCTTTAACATTTTCTCCCCATTTTATTGAGTAAATGAGCTTTTATAACTGTCATCGGATTAAGTTTTGCTTGGCAATTCAGCCCTTTAATTCAAGCCCTGACGATCAGCTTTTCTTGCGCACCTGCTGTGAATGTGTATGTGAGTGTGTGTACATGAAACCACCAAGTAATACTTAAAATAGCTTAGTTTATGCAATGGACAAGAAGCTTTCCACGATGGGGCTTCATATAAGCATGTCTGAATGGACAGTTGTTACAGCTCAAGGTTGATTGCTCAGCATGGATGCATTTAATAATCAAAAGTGAAAGTAAAGTAATTTATAATGTTACAAAATATTTTTCGGTTTCAAAAAAAAAAATATTTCTATTCATTTCTATTCATCAACTTTCTACAAAAATGTTAAGCATCACAACAGTTTTCAACATTGATAATAACAATAAATGTTTATTGAACACCAGATCAGCATTTTAGAATGATTTCTGAAGGATCATGCTATCTTTCCTGCACGGAACTTGTCCCTTGTCTTGAATTGTTTGGGATTCGTTCCCCTATATTTTTTTACTTCTATGTGTAAATGTCGGAAGGCAGTCCTGCCCACTCACAGGCATGTGCATATACAGTATATTCATGTGAACAATATATTATAAGAGGATAAGACTGAGTCGATCTTTCACAGACTCGCTCTGAGAACATTCAGCATTGGGCAGCAGATACATAACTTGACAGCGCTCTCTTTCTGTCAGTCCCTCTGTGATGATTGGGTGAAAGGTCAGCTTGCAGAATGTCTCTTAAGAATGGCAGTATGTGTTTGACAGCTCCTTAGGTCTTGTGTTATCAAACCTAAAAATAACTGGAAAGTGGTCTGCTTCCAATGAAGGAAACAACACATAATGTCTCTGAGCTTTGCAAGTCATCTGAGACCCTGTCCCTTTTTATTCTCTCTCTTTCTTTCGTTTACTTCTTCATTCTGTCACTTCCATTTGGGAAACATTTCAGCCAGGGAATACTGTAGGCTAATATAATTAAGACTTTAATTGTTTTGCGCCTTCATTTCTCAACAGGTCTAATCTGTAGAACGAAACTTTGAATAGACCATAGTGCAGTGTGTGTCTTTGAAAGATGAATGTGTAATGTAATGTTATTTTATATATAGTGTCTATTATGAAGTCTCATTTATGAAGTTTTAGTTTATTCCCAGGTATGCTTAGTAGAATTAGCCAGAATGTCAATATATTTATGGTTAGCCAAATAAGAAAAGCAAGAAAGATCTGTATGTAATGTAAAGGAAAAACCTGTATATGATAAAGCAGCTTATTTAGGCTGTATTAGTTCTGATGCATCTCTTTAGAGCAAATCAATTCAGGCTAACTGCCAAATGAAAGCACGTCATTTATTTTCCCTATAGTGCATATCGATTTTTTTATATATGCAAAATGACACGATAGCAACAGTGATGTCTGCTGAACCCTCACACATACTCACACATCTTTACTTATCTGTCTAAATGTGCTAATACCGTAGATGTCTATTGTTTTATATAATTAAGCAATATGATAAGTTCCACATTCACTTGTCACCACTCACATGCTCCAGCTCCTGTCTGGAACACAGTAGAACACAGACCGGTGGAGTGACGCAAACTCTTGAACTCTGCTTGTCCAGTCAGATTAGAGGACTGGAACTGAATTTTGGATTTAACTTATTATAATGATTTAGAAATTATAATGAATTGTATATTCCTGTTTGTAAAAGTCACTTTTTTCATTTTTATAATGTACATTTAGATTTTTTCTATTTATGAATCATCTTTGTAATTGAGAATTTGTCAGTCGGATGTAACCAAAGGGAGGTTTCGCTAAGGTTTAGCTAGGTTTGGCTAAATGAGTAAACCCACACACACTGTCCTTATTTTTTTCTGTATCTTTTCTTTTGCTACAGTTTATTGTGTATGGAGGTTTGCCTTTAAATATGTGTCAATCTTTGTGTGTTTGTTTGTGTATCTTTATGCAGCGACTGATATTGACATTTGTAGAAACTGATACATAAATATCAACAATGAATTTTGAGAATGTTTGATGTGTTGATCCAGAGATCAGGTCTGTAGTAATTACTAATTTCCAAATGATGTTCAGTTCTACTAGTACTAGTATCAAAGATACTTGATAACTTAATTTCTGCATCTGCCACTGTCAGCCTAGGAGTTTATAGGTCAGTGAATGAATGCAAGAATGAGCAAATATAAGTTAAGTATGACTCATTGGTTAAGTGGTAATGTTTTCACTTTGATTTCAGTGGGTTCCAGTTTCTCATCTGCCTTTACATAACATTTTAATATTACACCATAACAATGATGGTATTTTCCTTAAATGTTACATCATTTGAGCTCTGATCCACAATACAAAAACCACACATCGCTTAATGAAAAATCCTGTCTGGACTTTTATAAATACATTTTCCATTAAAATATATTTTTTCCCAGACAAAGTTTGTGTAAAAGAATTTATGTTTTAGAATCTATCCTTTGTTGATATTGTATACATCTTGAGTCATCTTGTGTTCGTGCTTGACTGTGAAGCTGATGCTAATGGCAGTCTCACAAAACCATGAGAGAATGTGATAAAGAGGTCGAGAGGAGAGGAGAGGAGAGGAGAGGAAAAAGGCGGTAGTAGGGGTTAGGGAGTAGATGGGGTGTGTGTGTGTGTGTGTCCAATGGGGAGGGGGCTGATATGGGACTACAGAGAGAATGAAAGGCTTTATTGTTGTGCAGTAGCCCAGGGACAGATGCAGTAATGCCTACATGGACAAGCACCCATGAGCTTGACATCTCTCCCTCCAAACTAAACTGCAAGCTGTCAAGATTCACATTTAAATCACATTAAATGTGAGATAAATGACTGAGTAATTAACATCCTCGAGACAACTACATACATTTGAATGGATACATGTATATACAGGGACACAGTCTTCTCACTCCAGAGAACAATAAATACACAAACAGTCTCAAAATGTTTGTGTTTTCATTTTTGTAAGTCTTATGGAACGGAACCCCTGAGTAAATCCTCTGTCCCACTGCACTCAGTCAGTGCACTCAGCAGGGTTCCTCCCTCTTTTGCTGCTTTTCTTCTATTCTCATTCACTGTCATCTCTCTCACACTCTCTTTCACACTTCCTCGGACTATTTCTGTCAGTGTTAACTAGTTACGCAAGACCAGGACCCCCATATCACCATGGCAACCCCCCCCCCAACTCTGCCGAAACACGTCTCAAGTCCTGAAACTTTCAGGGTGTTTGAGCACCAAGCGTATTTGGCCAAACTCCACCCACACAAACATCGCAGACTTTTAACGTTCACCTGCACTAACTGGCATGCTGAAACACACACTCTTAAGTGAACTCCAT